TCATGTGAGAGTTTATACTATTAGTGATACTATTGCAAGGTTTAAAAAAATGCTAGGATATGAGGTATTTATAATTTTCCTTTTGATTTTGAAGAAGATGATGAAGATACAATCGAAGAAAATAGTGAACTACGGGTATGGGTTTTTAATTATTATGATTTAATGTATTTAAACAAAATAACCCTTTTTTTCCTATTGAGCAAATATATTTACAATTATATTTACATTTATTAAAAGGCACTTTTACCGTTTGCAATTATTGGGAGCGAAGAAGAAATTATTGTTAATGGAAAACCAGTTCGTGGAAGACAATATCCTTGGGGTGTTGTTGAAGGTATAAATCAATCCATTACAATCAATAACAAATGTTTCTTTTTAATAATAATATGAATGAATACCTTTAATTTTCATATTAAAAAAAAATAGTTGATAATCCACAGCATTCAGATTTTGCAAGGTTGAGATCAGCTTTATTGAGGTAAGTATTATACCATGTGTTTTTCTATTATTATCTTTAAATTCATAATAAGACTTTATATTTTTTTTTTGTTATAAAATAGTTCTCATTTACAAGATTTGAAAGAAATCACACATGACTTTTTATATGAAAATTATCGTACCGAAAAACTTAGTCGAAGTGAAGACAACTCTGAAGACGAGTAAGTTAAACAATATGCTCGATTTGTTTGAGAAATGGAAATGTTACAATTATAATCATAACAATAATAATAATTCTAAATTTAATATTATATAGAGAACAAAGTAGCAATTTACCTGACGATCTTGCTACTCAAACTGTACGTTTGAAAGAAGAACAATTGAAACGTGAAGAAGAGAAGGTAATAAAACTTAAATTAGAAATTTCTACAAAAAAAAAAAATTATACTAATTTTATTTGTATCAATTAATTTAGTTGAGAGAAATTGAATTAAAAGTACAACGAGAAATCACAGAAAAGAGACAAGAACTATTAGCAAAAGAAGAAGCATTGAGAGATTTGGAAGCTCGTTTGGCTCAAGCTCAAGAAACTAATAAATAAAATTTATTGATTATATAATTTTATATAATACATTTGATAATACATATATATAGATATAGATATATATATACAAACTGATTTATAAAAAATTGTTATTTGGATTATAGAGGAAGGGTTGGAGACATTTTCACTATTTTTTAATTATTTATATCTGTAATGATTTATTTAATGTCATTAATAATATTTATTTATTTTGACTATTCTTTAATTTATTTATTTATTTAATAATTTAATTACTTTCAATAAATGCATTAGAAGTGAAAAATCTAAAAATATTTTTTGACAAGCCTTTTTTATTTTATAAATTGGAATGCACGTGATATATCAAAATGAAACAATTCTGTCTTGATACCACTAAATGGATTGTGCTTGATTCTTTACCTTTAATGTCCTTCAAGGAAAAGGACTCAAAAACTAATGCCAGTTTTTTAAACAGAAAGGCTAAATACAATGGCTTAAAGTAATTCTAGTAATTGAAGGCTTTTTGTTGGAAAAAAAGGATGTTAAACAAATAATTAAATTTGAACGGCCTTATTAAATCAATAATAATAGAAAATTCCTTTTACTACAATATGCATGCAACTATTTTTCAAGTAACATTTGAAACATTTTCTCCCAATATACATGAAAAATTGTGTATTCAGTATCCATCGCTTATTTTATCTGGAAACAGTGTTAATATTTTATACACTTATGCGAAAAATTAAAAAATTTGCAAGAATTCAAATATACAAATAATTTGAATCAATTATAATTAACATTGTTCTTATCACTGTCAAAGTTCAAGTTATTTAAATACTGTAATCCATGCACAAGCCATCTTTGATCCCGACATCTAAATCCATTGTTTTCATTAATTAATCTGTCACGCTCAACTTGAAAAATCTCTGACCTGACTTCTTTTAATAGTTGACCTAATCTATTTAATCCCTCACCATTCCCACCATCTCCCCAATACCTATCATTCGACGTATGTTCTATTATCTCAGCACCACACGTAGAAAGTAATTTAAATCGTAAATAGTGAAATTGTGAAAATTTACACTTTAATGCTTTTTTCATAATTAACTCTTTGAATATCTTCCTGTCTTCTGACACCACCGATTCCCAATTTGCTCTTTTCTCTTTATCATATGATCTAGCAATTGAAAATGCTTCTCTTGCTGATTTTGCATATTGAATTTTTTTACGAATTGTTGGATTTTCAAATTTTGATGATTGAACTATCAATCCATTGATAAATATTATATTATTAATATTATATTTTGAGAAAGACATAGAAACATCTAAAGAACCACTTACAATAATGTTCAGTAGTTGGCCAATCTGCACCATCTATCGATATTTTCTTTATTGGATTATAAAAATTAGTAAACTCATAATAAAGTTCGTCCCTATTATAAAATTTGATTACTCCTTTTCCTGATCTGCTATAATATTCATACTTTATCACAAGGAAAAAATAAATAAATGAATATTAATATTAATGCGAGCAAGAATGCATTAATTCTAATTATACCTTACTTACCAAATGGTCCATAAGTAAAATAAAAGCATCCTTCATCGTTTCTCTACGAGCCAATAACAATGTAGCCCTGGCCTCTCGAAGTTCACGTTTGGTATAAGCTAAATTTGATTCAGTAACTTCTCTTATCACGATAATATCTATTGTATGAATATCACAAATATTGCGAATGCTTTTTATAAATCCTGTTAAAGGGACCATTCTCATTTCTCTGGGGTCTACATTTAAAATCACCACAATTCCGAATTGGTTTATCCAACAATTCAACGAACAATCTAGAATAAATTTTACAAGATTTCGAAATTCTGTTTCAAAATAATATACTGCATTTTTATTAAATGCATCATATATGATTTTATGTAATACAAATCCATCACAATCCTCTTGCTTCATGTCAAAATATTTGCTAATATTTTTATTTCCAAGTGTTATATCGAGTGCTAAGAATTTTGGAAACCGATTGGGTTTTAATTGATTTTTTCTTGAATTTATAATTGTTGAGCTACTATTTGAATATTCATTGTTAAGATAATTATAAGTGTCTCTTCTATTATTTGACAAATATTGATTTGAATTATTGGAATCACTAGAATTACTATTATTATGATTATTATAGAAATTATGATTATGAGGTTTGGATGATGAATTTCCAGCTTGATTTTGATCTTTATTTCGTTTTGTTTGATTTGATTGGTTTTGGTTTTGATTTCGATTTAATTGTTCCCCTTTTCTCTTCCTCTTCCGCCTTCCCTTCCCTTTCTTTCCCCCATTTTTCTCTTTTTCCTTTTCCTTCTCCCTCCCATTCTCTTCTTTTCCCTTCTCTTCTTTCTTTTTTTCCTTATCCTTCTCTTTATTTTTCTTCTCTTTATTTTTCTCTTCCTCCCCACCCTTCTCTTTTTCACGAATCATTTCTTCATGTTCTGATTTGGATTCAATTGGGTATTTCCCAGGCATATCATAACGATGCTGATCTATACAAATTTCAGTTTTTTCAATGACAATATCATCACCATCGTTGTTGTTACCAACTTGCTGCAACTTATTCTTATTCTTATTATTGTTATTGTTATTGTTATTATTATTATATTCTTTATAATTACTATCATTATTACCATATTTATCATTATTTGTAGCAGCAAATTTTCCATTTTCTTTACCTGATCGTAACCCATCATTATCACCAAAAATAATATGTTGATTGTTGATTTGGTTTCTTGGATAAAATTTATCAAAATTATTTATTAAGATTTCAAGTTGACATCTATCATCGATAATGATATCAACTACATCATTATAACAATGATTGTGATTTTTATAATTTTTATTCTTTCCGTATTCAACAACTTCCCAGTAATCCATAATTTATTATATCAAGAAATTTTTTTTTATTTAATTAAAAAATAAAATTTTATTAAATAAAAAAAAATTAATTTATTTTATCTATTTTTTTTAATGATGGATGATGTAAGCATTGTAATTACAATCATAAAAATTATTATTATTATTTCAATTCCCAACTCAGCTCTAATCTTTTCCTAAATAATCTAAGTGTTAACATATTTTGGACCATTTCCACCTTCAGGAGTAACCCAATCTATATTCTGTGACACATCTTTAATATCACATGTTTTACAATGCACGCAATTTTGTGAATTTATTTGTAGTCGTTTTTTTGTATCCGAATCCGTTTCATCATCAACAAATTCATACACTCCAGCTATAAACACATATGCGTGCGTGTGATTGGATAAAATGTTAATCAAATGTAGACATCATGACTAATAAATCAACTATTCAAAAAAAATATGCATTTGCCTGGACAAAATCTTCCTTCTGGACCATCAAATATCTTTAGATTTCTTTCAACCGGTACTTTCTTATCTCTCAACCTCAAATGCACAGGTTGGTTTTCTGAATGATTGGTTCCACTCCTTGACACACTTTCCAGAAGATCAAAAGTTATCTTACCATCAGGTTTAGGATATTCTATTGGCTTGCACTCTCTATATAATTAGAGATATAATTGTGTAATCATATCAATTAGAATATTGTCATTATTATTATTATTATTATTACTATTATTACTATTATTACACGTACTTTGCAGGTTTCAAAGAAGCCCAATCATCATGATGTTTAAATGTCCACGGCACTCTTCCTTTTAAAAATAATGTATCCAATCCTGAATATACTATGAAACCCCATAATCCAAATGGGTTATTAATTGAGGGTCTCACATTTCTCACTTCATACAATTCCTTATAAATCCATGAATTCTCAATTGACTTCTCATACTCATCAAGGATTATTGGATCGGAACTAGAATTGCCAGTTTCTGATTTAGATGCTAATGCTTTATATGCTGCTTCTCCTGCAAGCATTCCTGATTTCATTGCAGTATGAGTTCCCTTGACCTTTGGGACATTCATAAATCCGGCCGTACATCCTATCAATGCTCCGCCAGGGAATACTAATTTAGGAATTGACTAATAATTTAATCATAATTAATTGATTGATTGATTGATTAATATCATCGTTATTACTGATTATTATTATTACTATTATTATTATGGTACCTGATATCCGCCTTCATTTAATGCTCTAGCTCCATAACATGTAACCTTTCCACCTTCAAGAAACTTTCTTATATACGGATGAAGTTT